CCAGAGACTCAATTAATTAGCATATAAATTCAAATACATAAAGAATGCAAATTAAAAGCTTTAAGTTTGATAAATAACTTGAAATCTACGTTACTTGATATAGAGGAATGTTTCCTCTTTGATAATAATGACCAGAAAGGTTATTCCTCTTGATTTCGACTATAACACAAAGTAAAGATACCAATTTAGCGCAAATGCATATTAAGCATTTTAATATAGTTTCCCAGTTAAAATTGCGACTAAGAGGGAGATAATCACCATAGCAAATAAATTGAGAATATACAAAAAAAAAAAGAACGACAATGCATAAAATAATCACAATAACATTAACGATGATGTAGTATTATCATTATTATTTAGTTAAATTTAATATTTTCTCTTAACAATAGTGAGGCTGACCGAGATTATTATATTTTATTATCTTTTAATATGAATCATGAATTACATCTACTTAAATTTTACTCACTATGAACCACAGATTTCCCAAGTCCTATAAACATATAAAAAATGATATTTGACAATTGATCATAGAAAGTTCAACTGAGTTAGTTCACAGGTTTTGGCTACGGGAAGAGGAAGAAGCCATGGAACTTAACTTCAAGAAAGATTCTTTTTCTGAGTTTAACGAATAGTGCAAATGAACTCTTGAAATATTTCCTTTGAGGAGAAGATAAAGAAATAACTGTACTTTGCTGGAAGAAAGGCTCTGAGGAGTTTAGGGATATGCTCACACACCCTGAAAGTAAACCAGGTATCAGAGTTAACTTCAAAAAAGAAAAAAAGAATTAAAAAATTGTATAAAGACAGAAGAAATTAATAATACATAATTTATCATTCCCTTCCGAGTTCGAGAAGCAGATATTACTCTCAAGAAACCTAAGCAGGTACATGAATTTCTTAAAATTAAACAGAAGCACAACATAAATTATATGTAAAAAATGGGAGAGTATTTTGAGAACTTACAGCTTGCAGTCGAATAAACTAGTAGCTGAAGTTCGAAAGGAGTAATTGCTTCAAAGAACGTGGATTCTGTTTCGTTAGGTGAAACAGTCAAAGCATTTATACATATTTCTCCAGGTGGTTTGGTGGATATTAATAGACAACTTAAATGACCAATTACAATGATGGGGTCAACTCCATAAATTGTGCCTTCTATTTATCAAGACCACATGTTTTGCCTGTAATTATGAGCTTACATTTCTCCTTGTATTATGTCACTACTGGTGTATATATATCCAGGTAGTTCGTGAATGAAAAGTGTGAGAGTTTTATCAAAAAAAAAAAAAAGATGGAGGTATAAAACTCTTTGGAGTTAGCGTGGCTTGATACCATATAATGACAGCAATTATATGATAAAACTCTCACACTTTTCATTCATGAATTACATGGATATATATACACCAGTAGTGACATAATACAAGAAGAAATGTGAGCTCATAATTACCTTAAATTTTGCATTTTTAATGAATTAAGTTAATTAACTATTGAAATTAAACAGTCAAATTGTTAAATATAATACTTATCAACGTACTAGTTTTTCACAATTAAAATAATTAATTTTACGGAAAGTTTTGATTTACATAGGGCAAAAATCCCCGTTCGGGGATAAATCCTCGCGAAGCCCTGGTCATCGGGCCGAGGATGATCATGAGAAAAATCCCCGCCCGTGGGGACAGGCCGGGGATGGTCCTCGGAGAGGGTAACGGGGACGCAACCCCATGCCCCGGGCCCGCGCCCATCTCTATATGAAGCAATAGATTCTATAAAATATCACTTTTATCCAAAACAAAATATTTAAATAAAGGGACTGTAGTTAGCATTATCTTAATGGCCAATGTAAATGTAAAAACATAAATATTATAGTAATACACATACCAAATAAATCTTATAAAGTTTTTATACAAAGTAATATGGTAAAAAATGAATAATAATAAATATAATGAATTTGATTTTTTATATTCATCATTCATTCATTTTTTGTCACATCACTTTATATAAAAATCTTTGTAAAATTTCTTTGTACTTATGGTATTATTATAAATATTAAAACATCTCAAATTATATATTAAAATACAATAATTCTGCTTATAAAAAGTTAAAATCCTAATTTTATATCTTAAATGACATGATAATTTACATACAATAATTTAAATACAATAATATTAAGAAATTGTCTTGACTGTTTGAGCTTGTTGCTATCAAATTAGTTGCATGGAAAATGGCGAAGCTTGCTCGGTAGAATCAATTTGGTGAGTGATAGACTTTCATTAAATAAAATCAACTAAGTTTGTTATATTATATATCATAAATATAGATTTATAATATCATACCAACCCAAAAACAGAACTCCCCCACAAAGTTGCGCCACGCCTACTTGAAATAATGTCATCAAAATAGTGATATTTTTTGTAGCCTAGCCGATAACTTTCCCAGGAAAATTAAATTAATCCCAAGAATTCTGAATTCAAAGAAAGAAGGTGGAAGTGGGGTCCATATTTGATGCTTGATGAGTGAGGAAATTGCAACACCTGTAGCTGTATCATTTTCTGTCTCTCTCTTTCTTTCAATTTCAGGCGTTGAATTCAATTGGATGAATATATGAATTTGTAACCTGAAGAACCATACTCTATACTCTGGTGGTGCTGGCAGTAATCGATTAGGAGTACAACCAGTGTGAGAAAAATAAGGCAGCTAGTCAGGGTACTTATGCTAATTTACATGCTTTTGATCATATAAGGGGGGAAAAAAGCAAAAGGAACATAATTGATACATCTAAACCAGAACATAATTAATAACAAGCATTGAAGTCTCATTCAGAACTACTTTCATCACACCGATCTAAATCAGATAAGGGGCTTCCTTGTTACAAGTATTTGATCGTTTTCCATTAAATGTCAGGCAAAGCCACCCCGTACGTATCATTCGCTAGGTAAACTCCTCAATGGTTTCAAAGATTTTCGTATTATAAGCATAAACTAAGAAATAACAACTTAGGATTACTTTTGCTATTACCAAAAAATGTTTGCATAACCAACAATGGGTTGGCCAAGTGGTAAAGGCTAAGGGCCAAGGGGTTTGCTCCTTGGTGGTCTCAGGTCCAAATCACAAGAATGACTACTAATATTATTGGTCACGGACAGTAGAGCTTTTTTTGTTTCGGAAGCCTTGTTCGGGGTTAAGGGACTAGTCGAGATACACGTAAGCTGGCCTAGACATGCCCGGTAACAAAAAAAAAAAAAAAAAAAAAATGTTGCATAAAATACAAGTCCCATATCCTTATTTTGACATATATTATTCTTTTGATCACCAGAAAATATCACTCATCTACTGCACCTATTGAACATAATTACCTTATATGATACATCTAAACTATAAGCAATCTAACTTAGAGATTGTGAGCAAAATTAGATAGAATAGGGTTAGAAAGAAAATTAGACTTACCTCTATATATATATATATATATATATACACACACACACACACAACAAAAGTACAAGATATAGGTTTTTCCCTTTAGAAGATCAATTGAATTCTTCAAGTTATTAAAGTTGTGGTTCATCTTCATCATCAAAAGTGGCCACTTCCATTGGGCTTTGCCCCATCATTGTTAACAGGGCTTTGTGTAGTTGTGGCAATGACATCCATTGTTGAACCATCAAAAGTTTGGGAGAATTCATTAGCACTTGGATTGAACTCTTCCACTTCTTTCTCATTTAGCAGAGGCACCCCAGACCATAAAATTGAATCCAAAATGGGAAAACAGAAGCATATTAAACATCATGATCAAACAATATAATGAAGAAATAATCAATACAGTTCATGTATATATATAGCCAATTGTGTATATATACACTAACAAGATTGCTTTATTGTAAATTACAAGATCTTTCCCATATTCAAAATTTCGAAACCGTACATTAGAAAAAGAAAGAAAAGGATCAGAATCAACTCTCTAGTCTTCATACGAGTACATTTTGATGACACATTTTAGCATAGGTCACAGCAAAATTTAAATTTCTCTGACAATTAATTTATAAATACAAGATATATAATGTTTTCTAATAGAACTTCAGTACATGGTAACGGCACGTTTAGTTTGTTGTTTTATATTGTACTAATTAGTTTTTATTATTTTTTCAAGAAATTTTAAATAATATTATTTAACAAATTAATTAAGAGGATAAAATATGAATTTGCTAAATAATATAACATAACCTAAACTCACCTTTCCACGTTATATTGGTTATGTTATAGATGTACATGACTTCCTAGATGATGGGGATCACATTAAAATCCTTGATTATAGGGATCACTTCTATCCTAATTTAGATTGATCACCTACCTAGTTTAGAACACTACAAGTGTATATAAATATGTATCCTTTTAAGCTAATAATAAGAAGAGTGAATATTCATTACGTTTATTTTACATGGTATCAGAGCCTTAAAAGATAATTAGGGTTTGGGTCTCAAAATTGGGAAATTACGGTTTAGGTTTCAAAATTGGGAAATTAGGGTTTGGGTTTCAAATTGGGAAAACCTATTTAGGTTGAGATTTGTTCAACACCGCCACCCAAGGGAGATTCAGAAGCCTCTGATCGGCAAAACCCTGAGTTCCAGCCTTTAAAATCACCGCGCGTGAGCTCCATGCGCCACCTGAAACTCCGATGAACAGTAACACGCGCTGGCGCGTGAGAGCGCGTGCATAGTTGACTTCTTCTCCAATTCTCTTTGTCTGCTTCGTCGGTACTTTTACAGCACATTTTCATGCTGGATTGGGTAATCTCTTACTGGTTCATTGCTATTCTTTGTTTGGATATTTCTGAGGACTTAGTTATGATCTTTCGGCACTTTGTTTTCGTTTGGTTATTGGTTTTTTGCTTGCTGTGGCCTCTGGTTGGTGGTGACTGTTGATTGATTTGGTGTGTCATTGAAATTTAGTTAGTTTGCTTTGTTTTAACCGTTTGGTGGTGTGCATTGGGATTATCATCTTTTTAAGACATGTCTGATACAAAGCCAGTGATGGAAATGATACCGATGTCGAAAATTATAGAACATAAGCTCATTGGTATAACTAATTACCATGATTGGCGTAAAACTATTATACTGTATTTGCAGANTCTATAATCCAATTACTCATGAATATCCATGTTATTTGTTCTGTAAATTATGTTGGTTTGTTTGTTTGTTTTTTTTTTCAATTTCTGTTGTGGGATAGGAAATTTCCCTTTGTTCATCATAATATTAATAACAATATTCTGCGGATGAATATATTTATATGTTTTCACATGGACAAGAGAAGAATTTTACGATTTAGTAGAGCTTTTTTAATGACTTACTTTATATTAATATAATATACTATATGTAAATTGATTTAAGAATTGCACATTTGTACTTTTTTTTTTCTTTTTAGAAAACATGGATTTTCTGTCAATTTAATAGATCGGCTAATGCCTCTTACTTTTGGTTTTATTTAAATTAATTGGGAGAATATGACAGTTTTACTCATTTTAAATAATTCAGGTTAATTAATCATTTTTTGTGATTGGTTGAGTTATAAGTGAATTCATATTTTTTAGGACTTTAATAAACTGTTTTCATCTAATTAACTTACGATATTTTACTTGACTACATAAAAGAAGAACGAGAGACAGAGTCGACGCATCACCAAGCACTCCAACTTGTCAAACTCTTGTGCACGGAAATTGCAAAGAGTTCAGATCATTCCTCGATACTAAAAGGACCCTTCCTTCTAGCGGCAGAGTTGGGGGTTTGCGAAGTTCTGCAAGAGATTTTAGAATCATATCCTGATGCAATTTGGTTTACAAATGAAAATAATCACAATATACTCCATTTGGCAGTTATGAATCGTCAAAAGAAGGTATTACGCCTCATAAGTGGTAGGAGTGGTTATAAACATATGTTATTAGAGTCTCGAGACATTGACAAGAACAATATCTTGCACTTAGCCGGAAAACCCAAAAGAAAATCAAATCAGCTTTCTAGTGCAGCTCTGGAGATGCAGTCTGAGTTAAAGTGGTTTAAGGTAAGACTTTTGATGTAAACATTACTTTATTATTTAGTAATCTTATATTATGAATTGCTTTTCCCAACCTAAGAAGATAAATTTAATTTAACAATATGAGTTTTATTTACTTTATTTTCATATTTGCCTATTAAATTTGAGCTAATTTATTGAATATAATGTTGTCCTTCTATTGCTGTACATCAAGTATAAAATGGTATAAGACGGTTTTAGAAGTCTGCTCTGAATCTCTGACTATAAGTTCACTCTTCCTATATATTGATGTGGTTATAAATTTTATCTAAATGCAGAAAGTAGAGAAAAGGGTGCCGCCTGACTATCGATTGGAAAACAATTCGGAAGGAAAAACTCCAAGAATGGTATTCATTGAGGAACGTAAAGAACTCAAAATCGAAGTTGAGAAATGGATAAAAGATGCAGCAAATTCATGCTCATTTGCAGCAGCAATCATTGCCACAATAGTATTTGCAGCAGCAATCACTATACCTGGTGATTACGACAATGATGGCCACCCAAATTTGTACGAACAGACAGCCTTCACAATCTTTAGTATTTCAAATTCGTTCTCTTTTTTCACATCAATTGGTTCCATCATGATATTCGTATCCATCATCACTTCACGCTATGGAGAAGAAGATTTTCTTTTTGTCCTGCCCAGACAGTTAATGCTGTGTTATGTTATGTTGCTCTACTCTATGGCATCTCTGATGGTAGCGTTTAGTGCCACTCTTTATCTGGTGTTTCGCGCAAGAAACTCAAACTGGATACTTTCTTTAGTGGTTGGATTACCTATAGTGCCTCTCTCGTTTATGAATTCGCATTATACCCTCGTATTCGAGTTGACTATTCCAGCATTTTTCCTGAAGCTAAAAGGATGGTATAAGATTGTTGCGGAATTGAGAACAAGATCAAGGGTTAGTAGCAACTAAGCAGAGAGGAGGTTGAAACTCTGTTCTTTTAAGTTCATATTCAAAGTATTTGCTTAAAAGTTTCACTTCTGGAAAATTCCATCTTCTTTCAAATTTTCTGTTTGTTTCTCTGGAAAGTTTTACACTTTCTGGTTTTTTTTATTCGAGCCAAGGATCTCAAGAGATAAGTAGAAAATAATTTTGAGATAAGTCATGTTGCTTACTTGCTTTGCTAGCCGTTGCTGTTGCTGTACTGATACAGTGATACTCTTCCAGAAAATGTAGTTTGATGGTCCTTGTTCTAGCAGCTACCGTCGCCTGCTACCTCCAAAGTGGATTTGCATCATTATTGTTTGTTTTGAAATTATAATCACTTCAAAATGTAATGTCAAATAACCTTAAAATTATATTAAAAAAATTATGATATATTAATATTAAATATAATTAATTACCAACGGTGGTTGTCGGCGATGATATATGGTCGACAGGATAAGCTCAAAACGTCAATTATTTTAATTTGAAAATTTGAAAATTAACAAATTATTATTGATTGATCATTATTATCAGGTTCTTTTTTTGGTTTTAGTATTTTCTAGGGGCTTTTTGTATTTTTAAATCAGTTTTTTATATGATAAAAAAAAAATTATATCTAATACAATTAAATTATAATTTAAAACAATCACTTTATGATTCTAAATTATGGAGAATTTTTTTATAATAATTAACTCAAATAAAGGAATAAATTAACAAATAAGAGAGAGAAGGAATAAAGCAAGAGAATTGAGAGAGCTATGGGACTTAATTAATACGTTATTAAACTTCTCAAATTTTTGCATTTATTTAGAACGTAGGGGAGTGGTATTTATAGAAAACACTCCTCCCCCTTTTGACCGCCCCACCATGTCAAAGCTCAAGGCGCTGGAGGTCCACATTATTTTACAACACTCCCCCTTAGACCTCCACTATTAATTTACAGATAATTATATTTAACCTTACTCAAGAAAAACCCAATGGGAAAAAACCTAACTAAAAAAAAAAAAAAGAAATACAACTGTATAATGAAACTGTAACATGAAGTTGGACGTGCTTCATACTATCTCATTAAAAACCTTGTCAAGAAACCCAGTGGGACAAAACCTAATAAGGGAAAAAAAAAAAAAAAATACAATGCACATCTGTCCAATACAATAAACTTTTTCTGAAAACTCCCCCTAATCGATGATTGTCTGGATCAATGCTCCCCCTCATGATGGCAGAATTAATTTAGTAACTTATTGAGCCGTCGCATACCAATGCTATATACTAACTTTTCAAATGTTATGTCGGTAAGGCCTTAGTGAATAAGATTGTCACTAAAGCGTGTTTGTTTGACATCAGTCTCATGATTTTGTTGGAGTTCATGACTGTAAAAGAACTTCGGTGAAATATGCTTGGTTTTGTCTCCTTTAATATATCTTCCCCTCACTTGGGCAACACATTTTGCATTTTCTTCATTGATAATTGTGGAAGCATCTGAGGTACGTGGCAATTTGCATGTACTTTCAATATGATGGATGATAGATTTTAACAATACACATTCTTGACTAGCTACATGAAGCGCAAGAATCTTTGAGTGATTGGAGGAAGTGGCAGCCAATGTTTGTTTTGTGGAGCGCCATGATATTGTAGTACTACTGTAACTGAAAACATATCTCATCTGCGTGCGAGCTTTGTGAGGATCAGAAAGGTACTCATAATTTGTATAGCCAACTAATTTAGGATCATTAACAAATTTCCTTGGATAAAATAATCCCAAATTTTTTGTTCCATTGAGATCACGAAAGACATGTTTAATCCCATTCCAATGTCGTCGAGTTGGTGAAGAGCTAAATCTTGCAAACAGATTCACTGCAAATGCTATGTCTAGTCTCATATATTGTGTCAAATATAATAATGCGCCTATTGCATTTAGATACGATACTTCATGACCAAGTATCTTTTCATCATCTTCTTTAGGACGAAATGCATCATTTTTAGGATCAAGAAATCGAACTACCATTGGGATACTCAAGGTGTGAGATTTATCCATATTAAATTGCTCAAGGATCTTTTTAGTATAATTTGATTGATGGAGCAAAATTCCATATGAACAATGCTCGATCCCTAGGCCTAGACAATACTTTGTTTTCCCTAGATCCTTTATTTCAAATTCTCTTTTTAAGTATTCAGTAGCTTTTGTGAGCTCTCAAGAGTCTCAATTAGGTTCATGTCATCGATATATACTACCATAATTGCAAATCCTAATTCTGACTTTTTTTATAAAAACACATGGGCATATAAGATTATTGATGTATCCTTCCTTCATCAAATATTCATTAAGATGATTATACCACATTCGTCCTGATTGTTTCAACCATTATAACAATCTTTGCAATTTTATTGAATACATGTTCCTTTTATTTGCTTTTGGCACTTTGAATCCTTTAGGGGTTTTCGTATAGATATCAGTATCCAGTGCACCATACAAATACGCAATGACAACATCCATGAGATGCATATCAGGTCTTTTTTAGATTAATAAACTAATCAAGTATCGAAATGTGATCACATCCATCACTGGTGAATACATCTCATCAAAGTCAATCCCGTGTCTCTGTAAGAAACCTTGAGCCACTAGTCTAGCCTTATATCTAGCAATCTCATTTTCTTCATTCCGTTTTCTTGTGAATACCCAATTGTACCTTACAGGTTTCACTTTCTTAGGCGTTTAGACTACAGGTCCAAAAACATTATGTTTTGCTAAGGAGGTTAATTCTACTTGAATAGCCTCTTCCCATTTTGGCCAATCATGTCTTTTTCGACATTCATCAATAAAGCGTGGCTCAAACTCATCATTCATAATTTTAGTAGCTACTGTGTATGAGAATATGTTATTGACAATCGTTGTCTCACAATTCCACATTTCTTTGCTATGAGCATAGTTCATAGAGATTTCTTCATTTCTATTTTCTTGTATTCCTTCAAGGGTTTGTTTTCTCTTTAGGGGCTTGTGTCATTTTAGGGATTGTTAACTCTTCTGGAGTTAGTTTAGAAGATGTGGAACTGCCAATTATTCCAATATTGTCAATAGTGGCACCTATTTGATTTTGTGCCTTTCGTCTTCTAAGAACAGTATCCTTGGCTCCAACAGACCTACCACATTTTTGGCATATAATAGATGAATCGATTGTTTCCCACATGGATTTTTCATTGGTAACATCAATCTTTGCTGGTGTATTGACATAAGGAATATATGATCTCGTTATTTTTGTTGCATTTGTAAATGCATCAGGCATTTGGTTGGCAACATTTTACAAATATGTTATTCTTTGCAATTCAATTTTCGATTGACATGTGCAAGAATCTAAATGGGACATAGAATTCACTTTCCAAGAAAGTTCAAGCCTTACTTTAGGAGGCTTTGCCTTTCCCCTTAAATGAGGAAATATTGTCTCATCAAAATGACAATCTGCAAAACTTGCATATAGTAAGAAATTCAAATGCAAGTAATATTGGTTTATTGGACCATATAATTTCATGCATAGAAAAATAAATCCACTTGCAATTCACAAAATGAAGTTTATATTTAAAAAAAGATGATTCTTTTTCTGCAACAATAATTAAAATATTTTGTCCATGTTGGGGATATATAATATGATATCTTTTTCTACTGATTCCAACCTATCTAACCAAATAATGTACCTTTTTAATACTTTATCTTATCTTATAAAAAAGGAATTTAAGTAAAAATTCCAAATTAAAAGGAAAAATGAACAAAAATCCAACCTTTTTCAAAACCAGGAAAGAAAGAAAGAAATTCCTAAAGTTAACAGAAGCTAAAGGGTATTTTTATAATTATAAAAAATAATTATTGATTTATGGTTTTTAAAATAAAAAAGAATCCTAATTCTAAGATAATTCTTGGTACCTTTAATCAATTTCTTCATCGCAAGACCTAGCCCATTCGTCGTCAACAATTATGAGGTCCTCCATCCACAATAGGTGTCGCCGGCAAGAGTCTAAACCACTCTCTCCAATTATCTACTGAATAGTGAAGTTAAAATTTTGATCCTCTGTTAATCCACTATAGTCTTGATACACTTTTTGATGCAGCTAATCACTACTGTTCTGATAGCTCTAAATAGAACTACATTAGGCTAATGTCAAACTACACCATTTGGTGCATAAAACACTCCGGTGATCTTAAGTCTAAGGATCACATGCACCACCATTCGTTAAAGGATTTATTTTACAAACACTGGGGTTACCATCTATGTGGAATCCTCTAATGGGTATGTGTAGTGATTCGCCTATGACAAGTACCCATGTGTTATACCAAGTTGTCGACAAACAACCTTGACAAGTATTGGAAACAAGTATAAGAAGCAAGGTTGTTTCTACAAAGATCAGAAGTTAAGTAGGGTTGTTTTTATAAAGAAATAAAATTGTCACCACAAGGTGCGTTTTGTGTGTTTTTGTATCAGACTATATAATGTCTTTTGTAACTAATATTGTATTAACTCATTGTTTTAATAATAGAACAAGAAACACAGTCTTTCTTCTTTCTCTCTCAATTCATTCATTTTCGTTTATTTTCTTTTCAAGTCCGTCGCTAATCCTTCATGGTATCAGAGCTGTAGACCAGCGTCAATGGCTTCGAATCTTGATTCCTCAAATGTTTCGTCAAAATCTGAAGTTGAGTCAGCTGAAAATGCAAACGCAAACAACTAAGATACTCACTATACACTTCCAACCATATCAGTAAAACTCGTGGAGAAGAATTACAATCAATAGAGGTCGCAAATTTTTCAAGCGTTAGCTTCACACGGTCTCGAAAGCTTTATCACTGGTGAGAGTATCTGTCCATCCATGTTCCTTTTTGAAAAGCGTATTGATTCTGATGAATTAGTGAAGAAACAAAACCCTAAATACCTTAACTGGAAAAGAACAGTTAAGTTTTTAGTTAGTTGGTTGTTTTCGTCAATCTCTGAATCCATGTTCAG